AAACTTCAGCCTTCCTGCTCCTATGACGCTGCTTGGCCTGCTGTGTTCATCCAGCTCTACACCTTGTTATCTCGGTTTGAATTGAATGTTCTTTTGTCAGAGATTCTACAAGTGTTTGTAATCAAGCACTCTATTTGTTCCTTTTAGCAGTTTTCCTTTTGGTTTCTAGTTGTTCCCAGCTACCTGGCTTATTTTGGAGTCAAAAGTGTGCTCCAATAAAAGCCTTGGAAATGTAGAACATTAAATTCACAAATGCAGCAAGAGTCCATTCTTTAGTCAATTAGTAAGATCATATTAGCTAATCACATTTAAGTCATTTTCATTACAGCTTACCAGAATATGAGCCACTAGCACCTCCACCTCCTCCGTAACCTCCCGACGTGTTAGAAGAATAGGAACTACTCCCACCAGAGCCATATGATGAGCTACTGTATCCTACAAAACAACAGAACATACTGAGAAACTGGTTCCATGACTGGACACATTCTCTTGTCCATATTCTCTGATCCATTACCATGTCCTTTAAGCATAACTTAAATAAGATATCAAGTCACCTCCTCCACGAATTTGGTTATATGCCCTGCACTTCATGTGTCAGCTCTGTGAATCTCAAGAGGGGTCAAAAGTTTAGCTACAGTTTCTCCCCCACCACCTCAGACAACTGTCTACAGGGTTCTGAAACAGAAACTGCCAATTTCTATTTTTGTTCAGATCAATAACATCCACGGGTTTTTTTGTCTTATTTTGGGCTATAGATTCCGTGTGTGCCTCTACCAAGCATATTTTCAGAAAATGGGAGCAGATTTTATAGCTATGAAGTGGGTCACTAATTTTCATACTTCAGTTGCAGATATTCATTTCCAAATCCACATCCTTCTTTGCTGCGTTGAAACCAACACTCACCTCCGATGCATCAAATGTGATCTTTCAGAGGGCCTCAAACAGCTTCACAGTCCATCCTTTTACCCAAACTTAAAATGATTATTTTCTGACCTGCCATCTCATTTGTTATTTCTGGGCAGCTTGGGACGTTCACAGAGCCATAATAACAGAATGAGATCATTTAGACCGATCTGGTTACAAGATCTGGCCCTTTGCTTCTACTTCTCAAAAGAACATTTATGCCACCAAATAAATCCTGTGTGAAAATCTCTTTACACTGGTTGATTCACCAGATATATATGCAATGCTACACAAAAAGACAAAAAAAAACATACGTACCACCTTTGCGTTCATATTCCATGTTAGTGCCAACATTCTGCCCAGAGTAGGAACTACTATAGGAGGAGCTGGAATACGAATAGTTTTGGCTGTTGTAGGCTTTCTGTTTAGTTGGGGCTGCAAGTGGGGGTTGGCTGTAGCTACTGTATTGGTTCTGGCTGTATGAGGATTGCTGTGTCTGGTAGCTACCACCACCACCACCACCCCCAACATATGATGGTTTTTGCAAGGGAGGTTGTGGCTTGATTGGCTTCTTTGGTGCTGGAGGAGTGTAACCATCATTTTGACTGTAGGAGTAGCCCCCTGAAGCACCTGAACTGGAGTAGCCACCACTGTTGTAATAATTACCTGTGGAGTGAAGGAAGAAATATTTAACAATTCATAGTCATTTTACCTAAACTTCTCTGGAGGCCAAGCTTGCTCGGATTTTGATCCTCAGTACACGAGCACGGATCATCTAAAGAGCCACAAAGTCAGGTAAACCTTAAAGATTAAGGAATTGCCTCATGCCTGCTCGCTGTGATGTGGAGTGTCAGTCCAAAAGACCCCAATTTCACCCCCAATTTGCAGTGCGTTGGCAATTTCAAGCAGAAGCCACGATGGTCAGTGCAGGTGAGCTAAGACACAGACCCTCTACTCCATGCAAACCAGTAAAAAAAAGCTGCAAAACATACATGGATCTGACATTGCTTTATGGTAATACAGCAAACACCCTTTACAGTGGATTCTCAACTTGTATTTTGGTTAATCACTTTTTTAAGTGAATGAAACCCACAGTAGTTGGACATGAAGCAACAAGCCAAGGGTCAGCTTCAACGGTCAGAGTTCATCATTTACATTGGACTCACACAGCCAACTTGGTGAAACAATGGAGACAGAGAAAATCTTTTTTTTAAAGCTCTCCTGATGCAGCATAAATTACATTAAGAATTAAATTCTTCAGGAAATCACTCTTTCTGACCATTACAGCAGAGAGGACATGCAACTGCTTCAGGTCAGTTTATAATAAAGGGCAAGATAGAAACTGCCCATGACAAACTTCCAAGTTAGAAATGTGAAGGTCAACAGTTCTTAAGTACAATGTCAAATCAACAGAAAAGTGTCAGTTACAGGCTGGATTTTCTGATCTATACCACTGAAGTGAAGCTCAGGTTGACAATGGGTTCATTTTTAATTGTTATTGAGTTTCAGAAGTCATTGCAATTTGAGAGCATTTTCATGTTCAACTAGAGCTGACCCACAACTTGACATAGGAAGAATGGCCTGACAGAGCTACTCAACCCTTCAGAGGATCAGCACATATGTTGAAAGTAACTATGTTTTCAGATGATGTCGCCAAGCAAAGGAAGATAGAATCCACTGACGTCCCCACATGAGTGATGTGATTCCAGCCCACAATTTGGCCAGAGGTACAGTACCAGAATGTCACTGAATTTCATTGTGGAATACAAATCAGCCTTTATGAGAAACGAAGGCTATGATTTTCCTTCTGTTCCCTCAACAGCCAGAATATAATACACTTTACTTACATTACTTACATTAACCCAGACAATCCTCTCCCTTTTACCACAGGAAATGCTCTTTGGAGTAAAACAAGTTTCCATATATGGTTGAACAGACCAATTCATTGTTCCTTACCCCAAGTACACAGACAGTACAGAACAGGGTCAAAGTCACAGGCCTGCAGGAGTGAGTGGGCAGAATCCCAGAAGCAGAAGTTAAGCTCAAAAATTTAGCACATTTATTTGATGAGTTCAAATTAAATTGAATTCAAAAATATTTCATTTACAAATATAGAAATTTAGGAATATACAGTATTTCAACTGACAGATGTCCAACAGATTTTATATTAGCAAACCAGATTTTCTCATTATAGCTAATGTTTTCCACTTAAAGCTGACACTGGAGGAATGCAGCTACAACTTTCAATAAGGAATTACTACACAATAATTCAGAGTGGGTAACCATTGCGCTTTGTTGAAAATCCCAGGTATAATTTGTCAACACAACGCACTTAATCAAACAATTGAGGTTGAAAGAAAAACGCCGCTATCATAGTGCCACCCCATTCCAGAGACTGAAGCCATTGTCACTCATAGCTCTGTTTTATTCCATACAAACTTTTATTGAACTTGAATAAACAATTTGACATCGGTCCTGCTCAGGATGCTATACATTTGTTCTTTTGTAGAAAAAAGTTACAACACAAAAAACAGCATTAAAATGTCAACTGATTGGGAGGCACAGTAAAATGGGTCATACACAAAATCCCATAACTGCAACCCGACTGCTTCACCTAAAATCTGTATTATTTGATGGTAATAGGACCAATATGTCACTGATATACAACCTAAACCAACTAAAATCAAGACCAGCAACAACAAAGCCAGATATCACCAGAATACCGTCACTTTGAATATCACCATACAGTTAGCACACTGTACTCTGCCCTAAAATGCTGTGCCTAATTTCAAAAATTAAAACTTGGAAGAATGCTCCACTCATTGAAATAACTTAATACAGATGCAGCATATATGAGACCCAGTGTTACTTGCTGCAATGAAGGTGGCTAGCACTGAATCACATATTGTCTGAACAGATGAGGGTTGTGGAAATCAGTGAAACTGTCAAAAGGGAATTGCTTTAAGAAAAAAAATCTCAACAGATGCTGCAGTTACATTTTTGTTTGAAATCTAGCAACCCACATGAGACTACCAAATATATCCAAAGCCATATCTGCACATCCAGCTCACTGCGAACTGACCTAATTTATTTAGGCATAATGTGGGACAGTCATGGCTCAGAACAAGGTGACAACTACATTTGAGTTGCTCAGAAAGGAAGTCAGGTGCAATTTCTTCTCATCTACAGGAAATACAGCTCCTTAAAAACCATCAAAACTGTAGTAAACATGATCAATAATGAAACAAATTTCTGAACAAAGAAGGATTTGAGAGCTATAGCATTAGAGGCGGATGAGATTTAGTTATGAAGTGAAGCGTCATTGGGCAAGTAGGCCTTTTTTGCCCCGAGAATGTTGCCCTGAACTTACATGACAAACACCACCACTAGAACACTTTCATGTCTGTACAGACTGAATCCTCTATACTTACGTTCACACAAACAGATTCATGGGCAAAGGCTTGGAGACAGTCATAAAAGGGTGAAAAAAGCTGATAGGGCACTATGATGAAGAATGAGAATCCCACTTTGACATAAAAAGAATTCAGCTCCCTAAGCCAGATGTTTCTGGCAGAATGACAGGGAAGCCATGTGCTTTTTAAGCAGCAAAATGATATGTGGATGTTCAGTTCCAGTTCACTGTTGTTTTCAGAACTTAAACTAGTTGTTCAACTAATCTAACAATAAAACACAAAACACTGACGGATAAATCTGCAAAGGGATTATCTTGTCTGGCTGTGATTTCAAGTGCTCATTTTCTACATGTAGTTTTAGAAGCATTTGAACAACAGTTTAAATGTCTTATCTACAACGCCATCCAAAAATGCTTCCCACTGGTATCAACTGCATTACAGCACAAGGTGTGAACCCATGAATAGCTGCAACATTAAAACACATAAATGCAAATATGTTGAAACATTATTATTCCAGGCTTAAATTATTTGGGCCTGTTCAGAGATCCGGCCAAGTCCTGCCTCTAAACACCACCAGTATGCAAGTTCCAATAGAGAACTGGCCTGATCAGTTTTTACAGGGAACCAGAATTGTTTCTTTGGAAAATATAATCCTTTTGCTTTACCATTGTTTATAACAGATTTATTGCTTTTCAGATGCTGTGATCTTGTAGAAGTCTCCTCCCCAATCTCGTCAAAAGGTTAGAAATGCTGCAGATAAAAGACACTTGTCTGATGGATGCCAGAATTCGAAGTCAAAAACCAGTGGGCACAAAATGTCAGAGTCCAGATGAAGCAACACAGTCCAGAACGTGCCTGCAGACTCTGGGCGTCAACAGTTCAAAGGAGTTAGACCAAAGTGGGAGGGACAGGTTTTTGTATCAATTTTCACCCTCTAGCCAGAGGGAAAATCTTGGAAGCTGTCTTTGAAAAAGTCACCTGCAGCTGGGAGACAGAGCAGAGGAAAAAAAAAAAATTAGGCGTGCTCGGTAAAAAGTAGAATGCCAATTTTTTTTAGATTTCTCTGCTCCCGTCACCTCGTGCAAGTGGCTTTTTCTCAGGCAAGCTGCTTCTTTGTGTGCAGATTTCAGTTTGTTGATAAATATGTTTGCTTCGTGTGGCTTACAAAGCAGAGAAATATAAAATAAGCCAACTATAATTCAGCATTAAGCAGCAAGTACAAACTGCAACTCTAAAAGCTGAACGCAAGAAGTGTACTCTAGCATTACCAACCAGCCTTCTGAGGTTGATGTTAAATGCATATGACTAGGACACAACAAAGCCACTGACCACACTTCAACCTGTCCTTAGTTCTGTCCATATTTATTTTCTGAGTTTACTTATATTATTTCCCTCACACCAATGTGAAGATTGACATTAATCAGAGGCCAACCTATGTGAAGTCCCAGATGGGTCATGGACATTGCAACTTATGGACACTGGACCTAACCAGACTATATGGCATTTACCCCATAAACTATGGAGATAAACAAGAAACTCGCTGAAACTTCAACTGCGTCTTCCAGCAGCTCCTCAGAGCATCAACCACCACAGCAAAGAGGTCAGAGGGCCAAACAAAATTGAAATCTAATCTAATTTACTTGGATAATTTATTCCTGCAGTTTTAGAGCCATACAGTATAGAAACAGGCCCTTTGGCCTACCATATCTATGTCAACCAACAAATACCAAACTACACTGATCACATTTACCTGCACTTGGTCTGTAGCCTACTATGCCTCAGCATTTTAAACACTTATCCAGATAGTTCTAAACGTTGTCAGAGTACCTACCTCCACAATCCTCTTACGTAAGCACATTCCATATATCTAACACCATCTGGGAGAAAATATTTTAATCCCCAGATCTTCTCTAAACTACTTACCCTTACCTTAAACTTATGCATTCTGGTCTTGAGACACGTCTTCATGGAAAAAGATACTCACAAACTACTGTCTATGCCTCTCAATTTAGTATACCTTTTCAACCTCCTGTGCTCCAAGGTAAACAAACCCAGCCTACTGGTTTCTCCTCATAACTGCGGCTTTTCATCGCAGGCAACATCCTGGTGAATCTCCTCTGCACCCTTTCCACTGCAATCATGTTCTTCCAATCATGTGGGAACCAGAACAGCACACAGTATTCCATCTGTAGCCTAACCAATGTATTATAATGTTGTAACAAGACTTCCTTCCAAGACTTTAAATTTGTAGCTTTTAAGATGGATAACTTGAGAACCTCAAATGGTCTATCTTTGGCTCTCAAGTCCAAACTAGTTCTCTGAAAAACAATCCTATCAGTTCTATTCCCATAGCCCTGCAAATTTATTTCCTTCAAGTGTCCATCTAAGTTCCTTTTTAAATCGTTGACTTTCTTCATTTCCACAAGGCAATAAGTTTCAAATTGCAAATAATCGTCACGTAAACAGGTTTCTTCCTCACATCCTTCAAGACCTGTCCCCAAGTCCTCATATGATCAACTAATGATAGTACTTTTCCTACCTGATCTAAACCTGTCATAATATTGAACACCAACAACAAATTTCCCATCAATCTCCAAGAATGAGACCAGTCTCTTCAACTTGTCCCTTATTCCTGGAACCATCCCAGTAATCTCCTCTGCACTCTCTCAAGGATTCTTGCGTCTTTCCTCTGGGAGATGACCAGAACGGGGGCCTAAACAGAGTTTTATAATGGTTCAGTGTAATTGCTCATTTTGCAATTAACACCCTGGATTTATGATGCCAAGATCCCAAACAATTTGTTAATAACTTTTTTGTCATTATGTCTTCACTTTAAGACACCAATTTACGTGGACTCCCAACCCATCTGTTCTTTCATACTTCTTAGAATTGGATTGTTAGGTTTATATTGCCTCCCCCCTCCATTCTTCTAAATCTCTCACTCCTCTGTAGTCCATCTGTCACTTGTCCATCTATTCTGCCAGCCTATGCCTGGTTAAAGTCGAGTTGTATCATTCTCACTGCTTGCCACCCCTCCAAGTTTGACACTTCAGCAAATTCTGAATTGACTTTGTACTTCAGGCTATTAGTATACATCAAACAGTGGTTAATTGACTCAAATGAGTATCCGATCAAGTTTGTTCCTGTTAATGGTTTTTAACAGTCATATTACATTTGCTGCTCTCCAGTCTTCTGGCAATTATCCCCTGCTTCCTCCCAACTACCAGCAACATTTTGCCAGCATTCTCTTTTTCTGTAAACACAGGACATTCCTCTTTCATTTGCCCTATCAGTTTGTTGTTTCTGGTCTGGGCCTGACTTGCAGAATTCACTGGAAATCACAAACCCTGTTTTTGTTTTGTCTCTTCATACCGTCCAGCTCTCTTATAAATCTACAGGCCCTGGAATGGTCCTGTATTTTCCTCTTGTTGGAATATTCACAACTTGTACTTGAAATGTATCTTCCTCAATGATGTAATCTCTAGCTCAATTTTCCCCTGATCAAAGTACCCCTTATCAATTAAAGCAAGCCTTCCAGCAAATTACAAGCACTATCTTTTTCTTTTCCATTACTAAAAAAAATACTATGAAAACCAGTATTACTCAACTGTTACCCCAGATACCTCAATTTTGAGCACCAGATCTAGCAATGCCTTTCTCCAGCTGGATCCTGAACATAATGGTTCAGGAAGTTTTCCTGAATTCCTTACTCTCTAACATTATCACACTCAATACCTGAATAATTAAAATCCTGCCAATAATACCATGTTATGGTCCTTGCATCTCAATTTCCTTGCTGATCAGCAATCTAATTTGTTTAATTACAATCTGAAGTACTACTTACCAGTCCCTTTGAAACAAAAGCTATATCATTAGGCCTTTGACCATAATATGGGATAACAAAACTTGTAACTTGTTTAGGGGACTCTATGCCCTTTTTTTTGAAAAAGAAAGCAGCTTCACTCATTATACAAAGAACTCAAATGTCAATCTTTATCACTTTCCTGTTGCAATAAGACAACTCATAATTGTAGTATGTTGCCAGAATGCAGGTTTGTTGACTTACATGCATTTTATTCAGTTTCACTCTTTTCTTACCCCCAAGGGTAACGTAGAAACTGCCCTCAGCCTCTTGCAAGAGGATAGTATGAAGTACACGGGCTTATAAAGTTGTCAATTACATACATTTTGAATGAAGTCTTACCATATCCACCAGAAGAGTTAGAGGCTCCATAACCATAGCTAGCACCACCCCCTCCTCCACCACTACCACCATATCCATAGCTTCCACCTCCATAGCCCGTCCCTGGAAAGAGAAACAAAAATACTTGTCACATGGAGCTAACAGAATAGCTCCTATCATATAATTGACTGAAAAGTCACAATAGTCCACTGAACATTTGTATGGTGCAGTGTTCCAGGACAATTTTGATAACTGGTCTCAAGGCAACTGAGCAGACATATTAAATCAACAAAGTCACCCAGCTACATGGACACCAATTCTGTCAGCAGAAACTGCAGCCTGGGCAATAAGTCCTCTCTAGTAAACTGCACTCAAGGATCAGAACATAAACATCAAAAATCTGAAACCAATGTGAAAGGCCCACAGTCGATTTCACTAGAGAGCACGAAACCAGGTTGCGAGGGAAGGCAGAATGAAGTGAACATCAAATCTTTTCTACATTGGCTATCCATACTGGTTCTTCATTTTACTGTCAAGACAGAAGTTGGTTCATTTTATTCCAGCCTCTACTTACATTAACATAATCACTTAAAGAATACCACAAGATAGCTGATGCAAGAAAAAAAAAGTCATTGCTTCTTTAGGCCATGTTCAAAAGCTACATTGACAGAAATTATTGGATAGGAAGGAAATGCTCCCATTACTGGAAGTGATGTGGGACACTGTCTCAGGATGTTTGAAGGCTCAAGATTCACTGTGTACTCCAACGTAATGAAAGCAAAAGAGTAAATCAAAAACCCTTACCAGAAGACAAGTAGCCAGAATTGTTGGATGCTTGGAATCCACCTCTGCCAGCTCTTCCACGTCCTCTGCCTCTACCTCGTTGTACTGGAGGACCTGCAGGAGGACCAGTAGGGAGCACTCCCATTCCCATACCACCACTAAATCCCATGTTGTGTTGCTGTGGCTGTTTGGAGAGAGAAATGTGTTACTTTGATTTTGCACTGTGAAGCATTTACTTCTGTGAGTAATACAGCCAACATGTTTTAATCTTCCTGACACTAAAAACTTGTAGACTCATGAAAACGATTGGATCTGTTTAGATCAGGTCAAGTAATTCCACACCACACAAGCTAAGTACAGCAACTGTCCTAAATATCTGTACTCATTTGTGTTACAAATCACATTACCCAACACAAAGAGGTCATTTGGCTCAGTGAGACTATATTGGTTTAAAGTTTTGGCAAAGATCTGCAGCTTGGGTTGTGGATGAAGTTGTTGACTTGCTCGCCGAGCTGGCTGGTTTTTGTTCAGACATTTTGTCACCATGCTAGGTGACATCATCAGTGGAGCCTCCGATGAAGCGATGTTAATTCTACTCTGCTTGGAATTTATACTGTCCGGTCCGTTATGGCGAGTACTGTCATTTCTGGTTTTGAACTGTTTGCGTTTGTATATGGGGTCCAATTCTATATGTTTGTTGATTTAAGTACGGGTGGAAAACCATGCCTCTAGGAATTCCCATGCGTGTCTATGTTTGGCTTAGGCTACTATGGTTACTTTGTCCAGTTAAACTGATGGCATTCATTGTCTGAGTGAACCAATATTATGGAGAATTCATCATGCTATTTTGCTGCTAGCTGACGTTCATGTATTCTGATGGCTAGTTTCCTTCCTGTCTGTCCGATGTAAATGTTTGTGGCAGTCGTTGCATGGTATTTTGTAAACCACGTTGGTTCTGCATGTTGTGGGAATGGGGACTTTAATCCTTGTGAATGTTTGTCATAGTGTGAATGTGGGCTTGTGGGTCACCATGATTCCTAGTGGTCTTAGGAGTCTTGTTGTCAGTTCCAATATGTTCTTGGTGCAGGGCAGTGTGGTCAGTGTGTTAGGTCATACTGTGTCCTCCTGTTGTTGTCGGTTTTGTAGGCATCTGTGGATGTAGTTGTGGGGATATCCGTTTAAAGCGAGGATCTTGTTTAAGTATTCTTCCTCTTTCCTGCGTAGTTCTGGAGTGTTGCAGTGTGTCCTGGCCTGTTTAAATAGTGTCCTAACGCAGCTTTGTTGGGCGTTGGTGTGGCTGCTGTGGAAATTGAGGATTTGATCTGTATGGGTTGCTCTTCTGTATACTAAGGGTTGGAACTCCCCTTTGTCAATCGCTCTACTTTAACATCCAGAAACGGAAGTTGATGTTTGTTCTCTTCTTACCTTGTGAATTTAATCCCCGTGAATACGCTGTTGATGAGGTGGTGAGTCTCTTGTAATTTGGTGTGTTTAATAATGACAAATGTGTCGTCTACGTACCGGATCCACAGTTTAGGTTGAATGCGGGGGAGGGTGGTGTGTTCTAGTCTTTGCATGATTGCTTCTGCGATGAGTCCTGAAATCGGTGACCCCATTAGTGTACCATTAATTTGTTTCTATATTTGACCATAAAGACGAAGTGTGTGATGACGCAGAAGTCTAGTAATTTAAGTATGTTGTCCTTGCTGATGGAGCTGCTGGTCTGCATTGAGTTTTCCTCTAGAAATGTGGCCACTGTTTCTTTGGCTAGTGGGATGTCGATTGATGTGAATAAATCTGTGACGTCAAAGGATACCATAATCTCCTCGTCTCTGATTTTTATGTTCTTGAGGGTATCGAGGAAATCTTGGGGTGAGTGAATAGAATGAGGTGATCCGTGTACTAGGGTGTTTCAGTCTCTGTTGTAGGTCCTTGGCCAATTTGTGTGAGGGTGTGCCTGACAGGGAAACAATGGGTCTGAGAGGGATGTCTGGTTTATGTCCTTTAGGCAGTCCATAGAAGCCGGGGATGTTTGTGCCTTCTGGTTTCATTCTCATGAAGTCCGTCTTGGTTATCTGCCCTACATTCAATAGTCGCTTCAGTGTCTGGGTGATCCTATTACCTAGCTGCAGTGTTGGGTCTATCGTTACCTGTTGGTAAGTGGTTGTATCTGCAAGCAATGTATGTGCTTTCATAACGTAGTCTGGTTTGTTCATAATGACGGTCATGTGCCCTTTGTCTGCTGGTAGGATTATGATATTCTTGTCTTTGAGTTTATCTAGTGCTTTTCTCTCTGCTGTGTTCAGGTTGTCCCTTTTGTTCCTTCTGTGTAGTGTGAGGATTATAATTTGTCGGATGGCTTATTGTGTTTCGTCCATGAGTTTGTTGTCTTTTAATGTATTCTCCAGAGCGGCCACAAAGTATGTTCTGTTAGCATCTTTTTGGTTATAGTTCAGTCCGCACAATAGAACATCTTTTTCAGTTTCTGTGCATTGTCTGCTGGATAGGTTTCTTATCATGTGTCCAGTTTGTTATTGTCCTTGTCTTTGTGGTGGATCAGTTTGGTGAATTTCTCCTGTAGCGCGTGTCTCTTAGTTTTGGTTTTGTGTTGATTGATGGTGATGGCCTGTTCTTGGGTCGTAGTCCATTGCTGGTCCATAGAGTTTAGATACTGTGATTTTTGGCGCACAATTTCTCATTCGTACCAGTGGAGTTGGTTATGGGCATCATTAAACATTGCTAGTAGCATTCTGCGTCCGTTCTGTTCAGCTATTTTATATGCCTGTGGGTTGTTCAGTGGAGGTTTGTACTTCATGCTGCGGGGCAGTACCTGGTTCCCGAGGCATTCGTGAAGGAAGTGAAGTTGTGCGCGGGTAGAGCTCAGTCGGTTGATGAAGGTTTCCCATAAACATGTATGTATACATACATATATACACATACATTTCCCATATACAAACCCATACAGATCAAAACCGGAAATGACAGTACTCACCATAATGGACCGGACAGTATAAATTCCAAGCGGAGTAACATAAGATCGCTTCATCAGCAGCTCCCCTGATGATGTCACCTAGCATGGTGACGAAACATCTGAACAAAAACAAGCCAGCTTGGCGAGCAAGTCAACAACCTCGCTATGTTGGTTATTATCTTCCAAAAAGCAGCAACGGTAATCTGAACTGCCTGCTCTCTTCTAATAGTTCTTGTGATGAATTTTTTTTTTGGCTTCCCTATGTAATAAAGGCTAACATTTCATATGCTGTCCTTATTACTTGCTGAACTGGAATACAAACTTTTTGCAATTTATGTTCAAGGATGTCAAAATAACCCTGTGCTGTAGTTTTCTGCAGTCTTTCTCCACTTAAAATTTGAATGCGCTGCTCTTAAGTATGGTGGAAGCAGGTTCAATTGAGGCATTCACGACAACACTGGATAAAAATAGTCTTCAAGAGTATAAGGAAGCAGCAAGAGATAGGGACTAGGTAATGATGCTCATTTAATGAGCTGGTGCTGACACGATGGGCTGAATGAATGACCCCTTTCTGTGCTGATTCTCTGTAATAACATGGTCTGAATAGAAGTGCTCAATAAGACACAGGAGTGGAAATTAGGCCATTCAGCCCACGGAGTCTGCTCTGCCATTCAATCACGGTTGATAAGTTTCTCAACCTCATTCTGCCACTTTCTCCCCGTAGCTCTTGATCCCCTTGATAATCAAGAACCTATCTGTCTCAGTCTTAAATAAACTCAATGACCTGGCCTCCACAGCCTTCTGTGGCAGTGAATTCCATAGATTCACCACTCTCTGGCTGAAGAAGTTTCTCCTTATCTCTAATCTAAAAGATCTTCCCTTTACTCTAAGGCTGTGCCCTCAGGTCCTAGTCTCTCCTACCAATGGATCTTCCCAACATCCACTCTGTCCAGGCCATTCAGTATTCTGTAAGTTTCAATTAGATCCCCCCCCATCCATCCTTCCTTCTAAACTCCATCGAGTATAGACCCAGAGTCCTCAAATGTTAAGCTTTCTATTCCTGGGGCCATTCTCATGAACATCCTCTGAACCCGCTCCAGGGCCAGTACATCTTTCCTGAGACATGGGGCCCACAACTGCGCACAATACTCCAAATGTGGCCTGACTAGAGCTTATAGAGCTTCAGAAGTAACATCCGTGCTTTTATATTCAAGTCCTCTCAAAATAAACGCCAAAAGTTGCACTTGCCTTCCTAACTCCTGATTCAACCTGCAAGTTTACCTTGAAAATCCTGGACTATAACTCCCAAGTCTCTTTGCACTTCAGACTTCTGAATTTTCTTGCCATTTAGAAAACAGTTCACACTTCTATTCTTCTTACCAAAGTGCATGACCTTACACTTTCCTACATTGTACTCCATCTGCCACTTCTTTGCCCATTCTTCTAAACTGTTCAAATCCTTCTGCAACCTCCCTGCCTCCTCAATAGTTCTCCTATCAAAATGCATTGTCTCATATTTTTCCACATTTTATTCCCCAAACCAAATTTCTGCCCACTTGTGAACCTGCGTTTATACCTCTAGAGACTGTGTCATCCTCACTGCTTGCCTACCTGCCTACTTTTGTCATCTACAAACTTATTGATTGTGCATTCACTTCTGTCATCCAAGTCACTAACATTGTGGCGCAGCACTGACCGCTGTGGCACTTTACTTCTTACAGGTTGCCGTCCTGAAAATGCCTCCTCTTGTTCCATTGCTGCCTTCTATTAGTTAGCCAATTCTCTATCCATGCTGATGTACAACCTGTATTAGCTTATCTTAGTAATTAGCCTAATATGTGGTACCTTGACACATGCCTTCTGTCAAATATATTGCATCCACTATTTTCCCTTTTTCCAACCTGCTGGTAATCGTCTGAAAAAATTCTAATAATTTTTGCCAGTCATTATTTCCCCTACAAACTATGTATTTCTATATTTTATGCATTGCTATTACATCCTTTATAACGGACTTCAAAAATTTGCCAAAAACAATTGAGAAGCTTACTGTCCTGCTTTTTGACTCTGAACCTCTGGCACTTTTCCATAATCTAAGGATTCTTGGAAGATTACAACAAGTTCACCCACATTCTCCGTAGGTACTTCTTTTAATATCTTAGGATGCATCCTATCAGGTCCAGGGAACTTATCAGTCTTCAGCTCCAGTACATTTCCTCTGGCGACAGTTAATGTACATATTTCCTCTCCCCTTTTTGCCCCTTGATTATTTAGATTTTTTGGAATGCTGTTAGTGTTCTCTATAGTTACGACTGATGCAAATTATTTATTCAACTTCTGTCATTTCCTGGTTCCCTATCATCATCTCCCCAGCCTCCTCCTCTAACTGATTAAGTCCCTTGCATCTTACACTTTGTCTACTTATTGTAATTAATTACTGAATTACAAGTCAGTAGACTTACTGGCAATTTAACCCCATTCCTTTATAATTGTTAATTTGAAAACATCAATTTTTCTAAGTCTTTCCTTGAACTTATATTTCTTTATAAACTGTAGATCCCTAATGCTTTTGCATTTTACCCAATAGAAAACCTCAAATGCCTTTTCTAGAATGTGCAGCCCAAAACTGCATGATATTCCAGACTATAGTCTTAATATGTTGGCCTAGTGATATTGCTGCTGGACTGTTAATGCAGAGATCCAGCTAACGTTCTGGGGACCTAGTTTTGAATTCTGGCATGGCAGTGGTGGAATTTGAATTCAATAGAAAAAAATCTGGAATTAAGAGTCTAATGATGACCAGGAATCCGTTGTCAATTGGCAGAAAAATCCATCTGGTTTACTAATGTCCTTCAGGGACGGAAACTGCCACCCTTACCTGGTCTAGCCTACATGGGACTCCAGACCCACAGCAATGTGGTTGACTCTGAACTGCCCTCTGGACAATTAGGAACAGGCAATAAATGCTGGCCTAGCCAGTGAGACCCACATCCAGTGAATGAATTAAAAAAATATAGATTGGCCACTAAATCTCCACTTTCACTTTCTATGCCTCTTGTTATAAAACCCAGTATTCAATTAGACTTATTCTGTCTTCACAGTATATGTCTTCCTTTATTTATATTTTCTGATCTAGCAGTCCGATATTGTCACCTTCCAATAGCCATTAGCTCATCAAGGAGCTTAGATCAACCAGTATCAAGTATCTCGTTGACACAAAGCCAAAGTGAGGCTTAATGTCATTTTTACAGCCACATATTTCAGCAGAGGTTAACAAGTGACATGACCATACCACCCTGATTGAGTGGAGCAGTCTAGTGATTTTATCAGGAAACAGGTCTGTTTTGCTTGGAAGAAAACAAAAACTGTCCCGATTTTCTACTCTGGACCACGATGCAGCAATTCATTGTAAAAGTAAATGTACGGCGATAATATGCACAGGGCTCAGTGCCATCAATATGGATGCCTCTGGTCAAGTAATCCAAGCTCAGATCAGCAACAAAACTATTACCACAACATAGGAGCAAAAACATGCAATAGAGGCAATGTAACTTCTTTGGTGCTGACCACATACTGTCTCATGGAAGAGGTGAAATTACAATGCCAGTCCTTTCTTTCCTAGTCCTGTAAAAGACTTACCTGAACAATCCTTTTTTTCTTTACTTCTACAGGAGGTTGATGGGGAAACAGTTTCTCCAGAGCTGCCAGCGCAGCATGTGCTTTAGCTACTTTCTTATTAGAGCCTGAACCAGTGAATTTCTGGCCATCAACTTCAACCTGGAAGGTAAAAATATTCTTGCTTTATTTCTTACATTTTTTTCAGTTTAAGGCTTATTTAAGATTATTTAAATTGTTTAATTTCGGAGTTAAAAGATATTTTCCACATTTCTAAACTGCAAAACGGTCATCAAAGTCAACCCTTACCTCCATAACAAACCGTTTATCATGACTGCCACCAGTCTCAGAAATTAATTCATATTTCAGCCCCCTTCGTTTTTCATTCAGTTCCATAACTGGATTTTTTCCCTGTTTGGTCAAAATTGGGCCTTGCTGACGTGCACTCTGGAAGGAAGACAAAAACCAGGAGTCAAGTAAACAATTCAGGTGTCAATCATCTATAGCTCTGCTGAAAGTCATCTTCATAGACATCACTCCTACCAAGAGGCCAATTCATCATGAACAGATTAGTGAATCATACTGCCCAAGTCAATTTCGACCACTGTTTAAAACGGCATTTTATGAAGATTGTATTAAAACTGTGCAGTCAAAACTGCTGGCAGACATGGTCCTGTACCTCAGCCTCTGGAGTCATAGGTACGGTCTTCACAGTTACTGCTGCAGGAGCTGGAGTAACTGGCTTGGGTTCTATTTTAACCACAGTTTCTTCAACTTTCTCAGGTTCCACTCCAGTTGGAAGTCCCTTATCCTGCAAAACCTGCAAGGAAATGAGTTTATAGTTAGAACAGGTCAATATTAAAGCACCACAGTAACATAAATGGAAAAAAAAGCATGCATTAATCAAGTAGCTCCTTGCAAAAGATAGAAAATTATAAAAGTTGTTCATTCATAATTTCAATGCAATCAAGTTCTTTTAAAAAAAAAGTCCCTTATGATCTGAATTCAGTTGTATATGCAGCTGACCCACTACTATATGGAGAACTAATTGTTCTTAATCTTGTGACCAAATACTGGTTTTACAGATAGGTGCAAGACGGTAGAATAACATTTCTCATTTGCCTCAGCCTTCAGGTGTCTGCTACAGGATCCCATTTAGAGGGAGAGTGAGTGTTGTCATCTACAGGTTTTTAGAAATTGCAAGAAAAGTTGACAATTATTTGGACAACATTCCAAAATGTACAACACAACAAACAACACTCACTCCCTCATGTACAAAGACAAACAAACATGCAAAGGTGGATTCTAGAGAATGAATTAGATTGCTAGAAAGTTAACAGAGCACAAAAGCAAATCATGTTAAGATCAAGTCACTTTCAAAGTGTACACAATATAGGTCAGGATGAGTTCTCTCTTGTTGTTATTTGGGACGAATGCATCTCCTGATTTCCAGATAAGTTTGAAGCCAGGTCTGTGAAGAAGAATGTTTGCAGGTGAGTGAATTAGTCTCCCTTGCACTACCCGAGTTGAGTGACTGTAGGTAGGGCTCTCTTCTCCTGGCTGGAGGAATAGTCCAATCTTGTCCTCCAGGTTTCTAGACTCTATCTTTTCCCTAGTGCTTGGAGTAAAAGGGTTACTTCTGGTTTTAATCCCATGATCACTGCATCTATTTTACACCCAGAATGGTTTGCGAGTCCAAAGCCATTACACAATAGGAAAATGGAATATTCATACACACACACAATTAACGGGGGTTCTTAAAATTTTTATTCTTTCATGGGACATTGGCATCAGTGGCTGGCCAGCATTTATTGCTCATCATTTGCTGCCCTTGATTAGGTGGTGGTGAGCTACCTTCTTGAATTACTGCAGCCCACGTGCCATAAGTTGACCCACAGTACCATTAGGGAGAAAGTTCCAGGATTTTGACCTGATGACAGTGAAGGAACAACAATAAAATTCCAAGTCAGGATGATGAGTAAAATGGAGGTGGTGGTGCTCACGTGTGTCTGCTCCTGATTCTAGATGGTAGGGGTTGTGAGTTTAGAGGTCCTGTCTGAGAAGCCTTGGTGAATTTCTGCAGTGTATCTTGCTGATGGTACACACTGCTGATACTGATGCTAGTGGACATGGTGCCAATCAAGCAGGCTGTTTTATCTTGGATGGCGTCAAGCTTCTTGAGTGTTGTCACAGCTGCACTCATCCAGGCGAGTGGGGAATATTCCATCACACTCCTGCATTATGCCTTGTAGATGATGAACAGGCTTCGGGGAGTCAGGAAGATAGGAGTTATTCACCGCAGGCTTCCTAGCCTCTGTACTCATATATGGCTAATCCAGTTTAGTTTCTGGTCAATGGTAACCCCAGAATGTTGATAGTGAGGGGCTCAGTGACGGCAATATCACTGAATATCAAATGGCAATGGGCAGATTCTGTCTTGTTGGAGGTGGTCATTGCCCGGCATTTGTGGGGTGCAAATGTTATTTTCCAATTTTCAGCCCAAACCTGGATATTATCCAGCTCTTGGTGTATTTGGACATGGACTGCTTCAGTATTTGAGGAGTCATGAATGGTGCTGAACACTGTGCAATCATCAGCAAACATGTCCATTTCTGACCCTATGATGGAGGGAACAACATTAAGTAACAAACTGAAGATGACTGACCTCCCAAGAACCACACCATCTTCCCTTTGCAAAAGTTACGACTATATCCAGTGGAGTGGTTTTTCCCAATTCCCATGACTCAAGTTTTGATCGGATTCCTTGATGCCAACATTTGGTCAGGTGTGGCCTTGATGTCAAAGGAATTCACTCTCGCCTCACCTCTGAAATTCAGCTCCTTTGTCAAAGTTTGAGCGAAGGCCGTAGTGAGGTCAGCAGCTGAGTGGCCCCAGTGGAACTCAAAACAAATAACTGAGAGGAACCTAATGGGTGATAATTGGTTGGGTTGGATCTGTCATGCTTGTGTACACAGAACACACCTAGGAAATTTTCCACATTGTTGGATAGATGCCAGTGTTGTAGCTGTAATGGAACAGTTAGGCTAGGTTCTGGAGTATATACATTCAGTATTATTGCTGGAACGTTGTCAGGACCCGTTGCCTTTGCAGCACCCGGTGTCTCCAGCCATTTCTTTACATCATGTGGTGGGAATCAAATGGGTTGAAGGCATCTACAATGCAGAGAATCTTCGGAGAAGGCCAAGATGGATCATCCACTCAGCACTTTTGGCTGAGATTGTTGAGAATGCTTCAGTCTTACCTTTTGCACTGATGTGCTGGGCTCTCATGTCATCAAGATGGGAATATCTGTGGAGGCACCTCTTCCTCCAATGACTAGTTTCTGCAACTATTTTTTGCTAAATGTTGAGGTTGGAGGCAGCGTTCCTGGAAGATTACTGATTTCAAGTTGGGAGGAAGTCCACATATGAAAGAAGATGCAAATTCTCCACATCTTAGTAGATTCATTCAAAAAAAGCATTCATCCATGGTTAGAGAGTCTTGAGATTATTCTGAGTCTGTGCAGAAATTGCAAGTAACCTGATCCTCAACAGACACCTTAGCCAAAATCTAATTTCCATTTTTAAAAGACAGTTTTGGAAAAGTAAATAATGAATACAATCTATTGTAGAAGAAATGAAATGACACGTCTTTACTGAGCATAAAGCAAATAATGAAATTACTTTTGACTTCACAAACAGCCATACGAATTTCATTCAGAATTAAAATGAGCTTGATCTGAAACCTTGACAATTGAAGAGTACAACTCAATGCAGAGAAACGTTCTGGTACTTGGTAGAATGCACAGGAACAGACAGATCCTTTTGGAGGAAAGAGATCAAAGCCTTAGCCAGCATTGAGTCGTCAGAAAGCTTTTTAATAAAAGGTAGATTTTACAAAGTAGGGAAGATATTTACCAACGACTGACAGGAGCACAGCTAAAGGCCCTGCTACTGATCTATTGGCTAGTGAGGTAGGTGAAAGCTGAGACAAATAGGTATTTACAGCCTTTAAGATCACTGTCTACCTGTCATGCTGGTACAACTCTGATGGGAGGAGTGCGCTGGAAATCAAGGCCCACTACCCCGTGAGCCATACCAGAAGTGGGATTGTTTTATTTCATCACCAAAAATAAGCCAATTTGTTTCATTTGTGTTAAGTGGAAAACAGACTTTCACCAGGTTTTTCTATAAACTTAAAAAATGATAACTACAGGCAAATTTATTCTTCAGGTAAGTGGCAAACTTATTGCCATCTAAGCTACTATTCAATAAAATGATATGACACTTATTCCCAAATACACATATTCATACACAAAAAAGGCAAAAACATACATGACATAGCAATGCGGAGCAATTGAGTAGAAAAATAGGGAAAACCCTGAAATCAAGAGTCCAAATTAAAACAACAGAACAAGATTTTCTCTCAGTTCTTTCAGTTTCTTGTTAATAAGCTGGCATTCCTGTCAGTGGCAGAATGATAGGAAACCTTCACACCAGATTTCAGATTCAGATGAGAAATGGTTAGGAATCTCGATATTTGAAACTTTATCAGCTTCCCCCCCCAGTCAACCTCACTCAGATAGATACATAGAGAATTCAGCTTTCAGCTCCAAATTTTGCCTCCTATAGTACTGTGTCTCAGTCTGTTTCCTTGCAAACTTCAGCAACTGCCCACGGCTTCTGGGTCCATATTCAAAAATCACCCTTCAGTACAGAGGCTGTTGCTACACAATAACAACAAAGATTCATTGGGTATTTTCTGGTCTGCTTGCACAACAGTTAAAGCAATAAAACTTCAACACGTCCTCAAAAAAACTTTGCTGAACACTGTTTTCCAAAGTAATTTGCTCTATACAGCAAATAGACCAAAGCATTTTTTTAACCTCTTGATTTTGCAGTTCCAAACAATAATGCAATAAATCCTCTGCAACCCAATAATGTCTACTTTACAGTTCTCATAATCCAACAATACATACCTTGACGGCGACATGCAGTTTAGCAGTTTTTTTAGATGGCCCTGACGCTTCATAGCTTTTTCCATCAACTTCCACAGACATAGTAAATACAGGAGCATGGACAGGGCCTGTCTGGGAGATTAATTTGTATTGAAGACCAGGTCGCAGTTGATTGAGCCTCATCAATGCATTCATCGCTTGGGCAGGTTCAACTTTTTCCTCAGCTGCTGTGGGTGCATAAAGTTTATGACACAAGTCACAAAGGTTACAAATAAATCCAATATACCATTCAAAAAAAAACATTCCTAAAGGGAGCACTCCCAGACTTGCTCGCCTCCATACATTATATTAAACCTGCTCTACACCAATTTGGCCAAACTCACGCAGCATGACACTTAATTAGCATAATTAATCTCTATCCTTGGCCAGGGAATGAAAAGACAGCTGGGGTTCAAGTTCGAGATTACTGTCTAATAACCAAAACTGACTATGAATGTAGATCACAGATAATGGCCGTCTCAGGAATTGATTGCAGCAGCAAAATTCCAAACCAAGAAGCTTGAAAATACCAAGCAAAGTTTACACATAGAGACTGTCACACAAACAAGGTACGATGACTACTGGTATTCATTACCTAAGTAAAGAACTATGCTTGTTTTTTGGAGTTCTCTGTAATGGTTAAAAGGCGTCTAAATGTACAGCAGCTATAACAGTGTGTATGCAGTACCTTAAAATTGTTCTTTCCTAATGACAAACAGAATGATTTTTTCTATGGAACATTAAAAATTACTTTCCGCTAAAATTTCTTCATTTGACACTCAGCAGGAGTTTAAGTACAACGAGTCTATCCTCTTTCACGCATAACAAGTTATAAATGATAGTATTTCAGTATATTTTATGTACAAGATGCCTCGTCCCATGGTGAAACTTTTTTTAAAATTCATTTATGAGATGTGGGTGTCGCTGGCTGGCTAGCATTTATTGCCCCTCCCTAGTTGCCCTTTAAACTTGAAAGGTCCGTGCAATACAATTAAAGCAATACATTGATTTGTCTATCCATGATGTCTACAGGAAGCTAGTCATCATCAACTTGCCTTTTTTCTGAGTTTTCTTTTTCTTCTTATTTGGAGACTTGTCTTCACCAGAGTCTTCATCTATTGGCCGCTTTACCGGTGTGCTAAATGCACTCGGAGGAATTTGAACTGAAAAATTCAATAAGACGCAAAAGTACATCAACAAGTAATAAAAGATAACAAGAGGACTAAATGTGTTCTCATTACAGATTGCTTAAAGGTTAAATTCCCTTTGTATCACAGGGGAAAACATAAGTAACCAGAGCCACAGAGATCCCTTGAACTAGTTCCGAGGGTGGAGACGGGCATTTCCCAGACTCCTCCCTTGCTTCCCCCTCGGCCCCCGCAGAACTGGCTAACACTGCTATTCCCACAAGATCATTGTCCTGGTAGGGCAGATAGTATACATATTGCTACGTGCAATTATGTGCGATGTGTTCTAGATGACAGAAAAAAGTATATATCAATCATTGTTCATATTGCAAAACTGCAACCTGTAATTCAGAGTCAGTTGAATAGTATGTGATTGCAAGATAGAACAGTACAGCACAGTACAGGCCTTTAGGCCCACGATGTTGTGCCGAACTTTTACCCTAATCCTAAGGTCTATCTAACCTCCACCCCTACCTTATACTATCATCCATATGCCTATCTAGTAGCCGCTTAAATGCCCCTGATGTCTGAATAGGTTAACTAAAAATATCTATAACCAGGATCCAATCAATGACTTAAGATCGCTATGAGGCTGCCACTAATTTCAACACACTTATCTTGAATGTTGAATAGAAAAAGGAAATATTAAAATAACTGAGATCACCTACTATTTTATGATTAACTAGTTACCACCACGAATCTTACATTTGAGCCATAAGTCAAGTCTTATAAGTGTAACACAAACATCAAAATTATTTGCAACTGACACGCAAGGATTGCATTCTTTGTACTTTCTACCTGTGTAATCGACTGGATTTTCATTCTTAGGTTTTTTAGGGAGTTTGGAAGGCAATGGATCCATACCCAATACTTTATGCAATTGTCCAAAAGCAGCCAGACGCAGTGCATGCTAAAAAACAAAGAAGAGGATTTAAAACAATTCATGTAATGCAATTCAGAAGTACAGAATCAAGCCAGTTAAAATGATATGTTTTACCTGACTGCTTTGGGTTATGTCCTCTCTTTGTTGTCTGGTAAGACTGCCAATGGCATCTGTTGCTTCTTTTTCACAAGGATCATAGATGCCAGGTCCATCTATAGCAAAAGCAAGATAATGTCAGAAAGATGAAAAGAGATTACAAAGACAACACATCTCTTCCCACAATTTGAAACACAATACAGAAGAATTGTGGCAGTTGGCAAATGTCACAACAAAGGACTGTGGCAACTTCTGGCAAAGCAAAATAGATATACAAATGCAATCTAGATAAATGTGCCCCAACAGAAACACAAAGTGAAAAATACTTCCCAGGGTGCAAGACTTATTTCTTTAAATCACATGAATCAGAGACAGGATGCAGAATACAAGAAAACTGTCTTCTGTTCCAGTGACCTTCAAATTGATACCACTGTCTTGTGCCTCCTTTATATTAAAGAGGTGACCACCTAGCTGTCAAATACGCCTTGCCACCTCAAATTAGCCAACTTACCTTGGACTTTGTGGATTTGTCACGTGAATGCTACTAGAAGGGATTGGACCCTAAGCAGCTGTACGTAGTGGGTGACATGCAATTGTAGCAAAGGGCCAGAGAGACAGAAATTAAACTAAAAGTAGAAGCGATTAGATTTTTAAAAATTGCAATTATGTTAATTTTCTGGCAAAAGCATCAAGTACATGAAGCACATACCTAACATTAGAATTCCAGAAGCCAGACATTCTAAGACTCTTCGCATTGCCTCTCCTGCACCCAGGGGTCTGTTGGCAGTTCCAATTGCTTTTTCACATATCAACTCTAAAGGCTAAAGATAAAACTGAAGATTAAATGTGGGCCCTTGTTTATGGGCCACTTCAGTTCCCATTACGTTAATTGTGTACACTCAATTAGAATTCTTCATAAACTGAAGCACAACAACGCCTCATACCCCAATAGGTCTGGAAGCTAACATAAAGTGGGTGAAGGTGACAACAGATGTGGTACATTTGTGAGACTGCATCTCAAATACTATGTGCAGTTTTGACCTCCTTATTTAAGCAAGAATGTAAATACATTGAGGCAGTTCAGAAGTAGTTTAATAGATTGATACCTGGAATGAGTGAGCTTTTTATAAGAATAGGCTAATCAGGCTAAAAACACTTAGTTTGTAGGTGTCGTCATGGGTGACTTGGCTGAGATGTAAAAGATCCTGAACAGTCTTGACAAGGTGAATGTGGAAAACATATTTCCTTTTGTATGGGAGCCCAGAATTTGGGGACAGAATTTTAAAACTAGGGTCACTTTTAGTTAAGAGATGAAGAAAGTATCTTTTTATTTGTGTTTTTAAGAACTGCAAACTACAATAACAAAGAACACTTTTTAAAAGAAGAGATTAATCAGGATAGCTACATCATTTTACAGCAAGGAATTCAATCGCTATTGTGACTGTTGTTTTTTGTGGCTGTGGGTTCCTGCAATGTGCAAACAATTAGGCACTCAGGAGTTAAATACATGTGAAGCTGATTGGCTCTCAGCTAACTCAACAGGCTGGAACTGGAAACAATTTACATAGACACAGACAGAGAGATAGAAAGACCCAGGAATATGCAATTGTTTACCCCAGCAGAAGCTGCCTGTTCTCTGCAGTGGAAACCACATTTTAAACAAAGAAAATCAGTTACCTTTCCTGCAGCATTTGACACAAGCTGTGACTTTTGAATTGAACAATCAGTCTGTCTGTACCACTTACTAACCAGTGGAAGCTTCCAGAGAAAGATAACTGAACACCAAGAGCCTGGCTAGCCAAAGTAAGGTCATTTCAAAAGCGGAATCCAGAAGCCAAGTCACTTAACTGATTTTTCAGTTTTTCTACCTCTGCCAATAATTTTTTTCCTTTTGTGAGAGGGAAGTTCATAAGCGGATTAATTTTAGTCAATAGTGTTACATGCCAATGGCTTATGTCTGTTTAAATAATAATTCTTGGTTAGTACAGAAACCTAATCCATGCCTTTTCTCAACTTTGGTGTGAAAATCAGGTAAAACTGGGGCACTGCGCAATCTGAAGAAAAAGTTAACATTTGGTACAACTCTGGAAATAATGGGGCTCGATTTATGGTCTGGTGCACCACTAGGTTGTAAAAGTGAGAATAGATTTCACAAGTTTCAAAATCTCCCCTCCCCCTACCGCATCCCAAAACCAGTCCAGCTCGTCCCTGCCTCCCTAACCTGTTCTTCCTCCCACCTCAAACCGCACCTCCATCTCCTACCGACCAACCTCATCCCGCCCCCTTGACCTGTCCGTCCTCCCTGGACTGACCTATCCCCTTCCTAACTCCCCACCTACACTCACCTTTACTGGCCCCATCCCCGCCTCTTCAACCTGTTTGTTTCCTCTCCACCTATCCTTTCCTCTATCCATCTTCTATCCGCCTCCCACTCTCTCCCTATTTATTTCAGAACCCCCTTCCCCTCCCCCTTTTCTGATGAAGGGTCTAGGCCCGAAACGTCAGCCTCTCTGCTCCTATGATGCTGCTTGGCCTGCTGTGTTCATCCAGCCCTGCACCTTGTTGTCTCGGATTCTCCAGCATCTGCAGTTCCTACTGTCTCTGATTTATTTTCTCTAACAGGATTGTGTGACTGTAGAATTCTCTGCCACAGAAGGAGATGGAGACAAGACCATTAAATATCTTGAAGGCCAAAGGAGATTGATTCTTGATTAGCAAAGGCATCAGAAGTTATCGGGGTAGGTGGGAATGTGGAATTTGGAACACAAGCAGATCAATCTTTGATGAAGCAGCAGAAAACGGTTGGGCCTAAGACACTACTCTGAAGAACTCCTGTAATAACATCCTGGAGCTAAGACGATAGTCCTCCAACAACCGATTAGGCCATTTTTCTTTTCTCTCAGAAGATGTGGAGGCATTTCTTGCTCTTCCTGCAAAGCTGGCGGAAGCACAGTCCTCAACATTTTTAAGTGGATAGATTCTTGTTAAGCATACAAAAGAAAGATAGATTAATCGGGGTAGGCAGGAATTCAGATTTGAGATTTAATCAGATCAGGCATCATCTTACTGAATGGCAGAGCAAGCATGAGTGTCTGAATAGCCTACTCCTGCTCCTAATTTGTATGAGTCCTTCCCTCGCATGTGATGTCCTCATCCACTGAATGAAATAAAAGCAAAGACAAAATACACTGCAGAAACTCAGCAAGACACTTCTGACAGTACTTTCTGGACTAGTGAACTTTACCACCTAGAACCACAAGACCCATGCGAGCCCTACAACCTCCAAATTGCAATCCAAGTGAGGTTGAATTCATGCATCTTAATAGCATCATAGATGGATGTATATTATATGTTATGCAGGGATTTAAAAATTAGGAATACTTGAAATAAGAATGGAAAAACTAATCTCAGTTTCTTTCTCAGGCCTAAGTGAAGCCTGCATCGGTCAAAGAGCCAGTGCTCAACATCACTAAACTCAACAGAAATTAGGGACGGTGGTCTGACCAGCAAACTGCACAACCCATGAATGAATTAAGAAAGAAACATTAACATCAAAAACACCAAATTACAATTACAGAGTTCAGCTGAAGAAAAGTGCTGATGCACAGAAGCCAGCAACTAGAAAGCCTCACACTACAGGTTCAATAATGAGGATAATAAACTAAAAACAAAGAAACAAGTTCACATACCCATCCTTTAAGTGGTGCCCAGGTGGGAACTCTTGAACATAAATCCCGTAGAACACGGATGACAATGACACATGACTTCAGCCCATTTGCCCTGGCCTATAAAACCATTGAGCAGAAAGTTAGTATCTCAATTAGTGACCTGAAAGTAAAATCAGCAAAAAAGGGCAAAGTTTCAAATCTGCAGTGCTACTTTGTCAAGGGTAAGAAAGTCTTTACATTTATAACAAAAGCTACATATCAATCTAGTATTTTCAAAGTGAGCAAAATTACTCTTAACACAAAGCAGCAACAATGCAATAATACACAAAATAAATTAACATTAAATCCCTGAAGCCCCCCTCCCCAACATGAAGAACTGCCAGCTTACTAAGATTACACTCATTTACTTAAGTGCTTATTAGCAGCTGCGCAGAGACAGAAGCTAAGTGTTGCACACAAATTTACAATTCCAATATCAATTCAACACGCAATTTAAAAACTGAACAGAATCAATAATTTTAATAAAAACATTCTACTTTAGACAATAATGTAAGAACAAGATCCAAACCTGGAACCATTTGGCGTGTCGCAGGGACGCCAAGGCGGTTAGGCATTTCTGCCTGTCCAATACATCCGCAGGCTCACTCATCGTTACTGTTTCTATTGATGGAGTGGAATAAGAAGACAGGCAGTTTGACCAAGGGGTTTCTGTCATGCGGCGGGGAGCGGCAGCATCCTATTGGGCAAACAGGGCTCCTCACCAAAGTCAAGTTGTAGTGAGCACTCTCAAATCTCTAATGAATCTACTTTGTCTTGTAACTAAACAGAGAGAACACTAGTCTATACCTGAACACCAAATGAATAGACAGAGCCTGAAGGAGTGTACGCTAGTGTTTGCACTATTGCGTATGTGATATGTATCAGTTTTATTTGCTAAACTATATGAGCTGTGGCATAAATGCATTGCACTGGTGGTCATGTGGAGAACAGTGTTGTATTGGTTATAAAGAAAGATATTACCTCACATTGCAATGTGTTTAATTAACTAGGCTAGGAATCAAGAGAAAGGAAACTATCAAGTAGGCTTAGGGCTCTGTCCGGGGGAAACCCCCTCTGCCCACGAGGGTCGACTGCCCAGGCCCCCATGACAGAGAGCGTCCAGTTGGTCAAAGGTCCAGCGTCCCTAAAAGAATTGACAAACTAGAAGGCTTGGTAGACGTGATCAAATAGTAAATCCACAGGCAATATCAAAAAGATCAAAAACACCATTAATAATTTTATATACAGTGGGAAACTGTTAAACAGACTGAGTCTGCACAAAGCAGTTGTGCATGCTTAAGCTGTTGCTTGTTCAGATTAAGACCAATACCTCAGGTTTAACTAGTATGTGCACAGGCTTTCAGTATCAAATGAGATATAGCTCCATTACTAAACTGCTCAGTCTCCCACTGCATATTCAAAACTTGGTGGCGTCTGCACTGCAGCAAAACTGAATGGTCTGGCGGCCCCATTACTGACCAGAATTTCAAACTAATTAGTTGAGACATCTATGGCAAACTGATGAGCCCAAAAGCCATCAATAAATTGACAACATATTACCCAGGCAAATAGGAATACGGTGCTAATAGTTCTGGAGATTTACCAAACAGAAAATTGTTGAAAACTGGCCAGACCGACTAAAGCCTCAGACCAGCTTGGTAACTATAGTGAACTGAGCCTCAAAAATCAGGCAACTTGTGGATAATGCTCAAAATATGCCCTGAGTTAAGCTGTCTGTCAAGAAGCAGCTGATTTCAATACATAATATAGAAGGGAAATGAGTCAGTAGCATATAGCATATTTAAATCGTTGGCTTATGCAACCCTTGGCAATTCTCTAGAATTTGTAAGTAGAACAACCCATTGCTGAAGTGGAATTTAAGCTATGAAACAGGTTTATTAGATGGTAAAGATAATTGTAGCAAAGGAAAATATAATAGTCTGCAAATAAACTTTCCGAATGAGAGCTTCTAACTAAGCTTTCCTGTGGATATATAGATATTACAGCAAGACCAATATCTTGACACAAGCTTTGTGTGTGGAATCCTGAGCTACAATCTTTAATTGAATTGCACGATAGCAGGATTACAAGAATGCGTAAACTGTGAAGTATGCAGTTTGGATTATAAACCACGTGCCTGTAAAACTGAAAGTTCAGTTACCAGAGACATTAAAAGCTTTGCCTGCATGTGAAACAAATTTATGCTCTGTGATGGCCTCCTGAACGCATTGCAAAGAAGTTTCAACCTTTTCCATGCACAAAGTATGACTGTTTCAAAATCTCAGGTTAAAATAAGGGCTTGATCGCAAAGTAAGAGTTTATTTATAAATAGCACTTTTAAAAGTACTCATTCAAGGAGAGGCCTGTCAGGGGTTTTGGAGGAGTAAGCAATTGACCTCTCATGCCAAATTGGTCAAAGTTCAGTGCTTTAGGCCATTCCTCACAAGGAACTGCTGTTTAGTTTGCCAAAACCCTTTCACTTTGGATGAGAGCATCAAATCTGTTGAATCCAAGTCAAGAAGCTGAACGCCCAGATTTTAAGTGACCCAGCTCCTGGAATACTCTGGTAACGCAATAACTACATACTAAGCAGTAGTGTTTCCTCCAGTTTGCAAAAGGACTGGAAGAATAGAAAAAAAATGACTGGTCATATCTCAGACATAATAAAAATAGAAGTTAGCTATGATTCACAGCGCAGTGAATCTCCATTATTTGAAAAAGGATCCAAGGTCTAATGATAATTATCAGCCAAGAGCCTGTGAGCATTTTCAGCCTTCAACCTCATTTACTTTTCATTAAGTGCTGAATCTTGGCCTTCGTGTCCATTTCTGTCACCTAGAAAAGTCTCACATAGTGATCCAAGTTTCTGAATATATCTAAGCAGCAGTCTCATGGATGAAAAATGCTCACACTGTGAAGGGAAAATGGGATACCTCAACCGAGCGTGGTCACTGATTTGAAACTCCACACAGTGTAAAGATCACTTGACGTGTCACAAAACCAATAGCTCAAAATGGATAAAAATGTATTTAAATCAGACCATGAAGAGCCAAACTTTATCTAAAAATCTGCCAGCTATGCACCAGGTGGTCTTTTTCCAAAGGAAGCTAAGTAACATTTGAAAAAGGCCTTGAAAATGGTCATTTTTGCTGCAATGCAAACTTACTTGCATATAAACCAGTGGCTTTGAACAACTTGAACACATGCATGGTCAAGGACAATTCTCAACTTAGCTTTAATGCTTCTAGGGTATTTGTTTAGAAGCCTGGAGTCATTTTATTACAGCTAGATTTAAAGTAGCACGAACATTTACCGTGTATTGGACCACCAAAAGGCTACAATTGCAAAGATAACATGTCAAGCAGTTCCAGGATATAAAGCTGCAGTATACTACAGACCATGGCTGCCATATAGAGCTATATGAAGATATACCAGTAACAGAATACCATTTTAATGGGATAAATGTAAAGATGATCTCTAATGACAATAGCCTAATGTCTATGAATCTTAATACAAGATAGGATATTTTCAGGATGTAAAACAGAAGGATTGGTATCCTCTCCAATCAATGTGGCAGAACTAGGCCATTCACCCCAAAAGATTTATCAATGAATAGTGAGGCATTGCTATTCATTCAAGACTATTCTACTGCAACATCTTTTGCAATGCAATTTCATGGAGCTAAAAGAAAAACTCACCAACAGTAATTCCTCATTTAGCTCACCTTTTAAAGTGTTCCTGCGCAATGGGAAATGAAAGTATGCTAACTGATAATAAAAAGAAACCCAGTACAATAACATAATAAGTTGAGTTGTGTTGCTGATCTGGCTGCTTTTTGTGCTAACATAACAATCACTCCAAAGTGAAGAGTAGGAAATGGTAGATAGTCCGTGTCTCTCCCTCAACACCAACTGCAACACCAATTCAGAGGTGGTGACAAAGAAACACCAAGTCTTAAGTCCCATTGTCTTTACCAGATCATTCACAATTGAGCCCCAGAAAGGCTGTAAGCCTGGCACGTACCTAGTAAACGTCCCAAACAGAAGGACAGGAACAGAAAGATTCAGTCCCACCGGCAGAGTTCTGGAAACAGACTCTGTCTTGTCAGGAGAACCCAGAAATAATAACAGCAGGCCTTTGAGGCTTACCAACTGCACTAAACGAAGTACTAGATCATGGCTGGTAGGGTAATTTGAAAGTCTTCATCAATATGAAAGGCAGTCTAAAATGAAACCCATTTAATGGAGTGTATTAAATGGGGGATCACTGTATGATCCAGCTCCATACTTAGCTCTGCACCAAAAGAATTAAAATCCCCTCCACCCTAAATGTCTACTGGAAATATGTTCATTATATCAAACTTTATACTCCGTAACAAATCTCAAGATACTCATGTATTTATTGGTTTTAAATCCTGCCTCCGTGAATCAAACTACGTTCCAAAGTTCTTCTAAAAGGACAGTATTTCATGTAGAGGTGCCAGTGCACAACTAACCTTCACCCAAAAATAAACTGACAATACTAGTGCTGTCAAATTCAATATTTCTCTTTTAAAAATAAATCACACTGGGTAAAATAAATTAAGCATCTCTTTTGTGTTGAATTCTCAAATGGGATGAGATTATAATAAGATCGAGGCTGAAAGTGGAATGTTACCTTTGAAGATGCTGTAATCCAAGTTCAAAAGTGGCATTTTCAATATCGTTCACATTTATTGGTCGAGTGAGGTCTTTAACTTGGCCTTCAACTGGAATGGAGGATACACCGAGGTGCATATAAATAATTTTCCATGTACTTGCACTATTAGCAGACAATAGAATTACATGAAGGACTTGTACATTTCTCTTATGTTCCTATACTTTTTGTTTGTTCTGACCAAACCTTGGTTCAAAAATCTGGCTCCTTTTGTTTGGTGTTGGGCTGCTAGTTTACAATGCACAATGCACAGAGACCCCAACGACAATGAGTTCAATTCCCACACCAGCTGGAGGTTACCATGAAGCATCCTCCTTCTCACTGTGCCCTTGGCTGAGGTGTGGTGACCCTCAAATTAAACCAATCATCTCTCTCAAATGAAAGGGCTGTTCATGGCCTTGTATGATAATGGTGATGTTACCTTTACTTTTATCTAACAGATAGCATAAGGGAAATGCACACATGTAATTCTATTGATTACTAAGAGCACAGGAATATGGAATATTATTATGTAGATGTTCATCAGCATACCCTCAACTCCAGTTGAAGGGCAAGTTAGAGATCTCACTTGACTAATAAAGGTGAGCAAATTGAAAATGTCACTTCAGAAACTGGATTGATTACAGCACCTGTAAGGTAATGTTCCAGTTTCAGCCTCTATGATCATATTGTAGTCTCAGTCCATTTGACAATTCAACACAAAAGAGACACTTAATGAATCAAATTTGCCTGCTCTGCCTCTTATTTTAGAGAAAAACTACTCCAGACAAAAATAAATTTGACAGCATTGGTATTGTCAATTTATTCTTGAGTGAAGGTTAGATGTGTATTTGTGTATGTGCATGAAGGAACCTGGAATTTGTCCAATCAGGACCAGTAAAAAAAAATCATTCCTTCTCGGTTTGAAACCAGATTCAACCAATTTTTCCACTTAAGGAAAAAGGAGACTTTTGTTGTCTACATTGCATTCGGAATTAAGCTCCAGAGAAGGGTACTACATTGAATTAGATCATAATCATTCCTGTCTTATTATAATATATTGCAGCTTTAACCTCAAAAGACATGACCCAAGAACAAGCTATATTGACGGCCCAATAAACATGATAAGCTGCGGGTTGGAGTTTGCCACCTACAACCCATCCTACCTCCAGCAGCCTGTTTCTCAAGTTCTTCTCGTACCACAGGTGAAGTCAGCTTGATCTTCAGGGTCAATGGCTCCTCTTTGTCATTCTTTATAATAATGGCTGCATCTTTAATTGAAGGATTTATTTCATACTTTTCCTCGGTAATCGTCTAAATAAATAAAATTTTAAAAATTAAGCACACTAATTCTCACTCTCTATTTCTTCTCTTCACAATCTCAAACTTTTAAAGGCTGGTTGCAGGTTAGTCTAACATTGCCTCATTTTCAGATAATTGATCACACAATCAAAGTTCACGGATTGTTTCAATCTCTTCAGCTAGAAACACCACCCACATCCCAATTTTCTTTCACACTTCAGAATGTGTAGTCAAGTTTATTTTGACCTGTACAGAAAACAAGATGCCTAAATTCAAAACTTCACGTGAATAAAAAAAGTTATTTCTTACCGCAAATTGTACAGCCAAATTGTCTTTGACCTTTGTCAACAGTGACTTAGTAGGCTTGTCCCTGCACAACAGTACAAGTTCCAGGTCAAGATCTCCCTTCAGAAGGAGGCCTTTGGCCACCAACCCGACTCGCATCACTCCACGCAAGGTCCGGCTGGCATTCTGTTCTGTAGACTTCTGTTCCCTATTATGGGAAGGGGATAAAGCAGGCCATCACTGAACCAATATTTAAATATATATCATTTTCTCACTGAAGATATTCTGACAAGGGTCCAATAGTAAAAGCTCAGCAGCCAACATCAAGAGAAAAGAAAGGAAAATACTTTGCACTGTTACCTTCACCCAAGAAAAGGTATTATGATTCTGACATTTACATTTAGGTTTCCGTGGCTGGGAATCACACCATGTTTGTAAACAGATACCCGGGAAGTGACACAATGATTTTGAGGGATGTTCAAATTGGAACATCCAAACTTCTATTGATAAGGAAGTAGACTCCGATTACTTTCAAAATAATCTAGATCACTGTCAAACCACTTAAAATGGTAGCCAACCTAATAGTTTAAGTAGTACACAAGTACTCAGTCGTGACAAGATCCAAAAATTAAGAATTTTATGCATTTATAATAGCATTTCTGATTAACAGGGACCGACACCAGCAATTATTCCCACGTTTTAACATAAGTCTTTTATGTCCAGAAGAGGAGCATACAGGACTGCTTTTTCAGGTCTCAGTTGCTTAGGGATAAGCAGAGGCAATTTGAGGTGAAACAAAGCTCTTAAGAAGTTTCAACACTAGAATACACATTGATCAAAATACTGCATTCAAAGTTGTTTATAATACATTTGATCCATGTTTTGTTTCTGTGAAAAAACTCTGTACATAAAATAATTGGCCAGCCTTTTCCTTTAAAAGGCAATAGAAAACAGTGGAACAAATGATGGTGTATTTCAAAATTTACAATTGTAATAGTGGCTGTAACATGATTACAGATTTAAGTGAAAAGCAAGCTAATATTTGTCATAAAGATGCTTTTGTTTTTGTAAACAATCTATCTGTACAAAGAGTTTAAAAAATGGCATACATGGTAAAGTTGTCATGGTCTTCCGTTCTGTGAAAGAAAAAGAAAAATGTCATGTCACTATAGAAATGTATGCAACTGGTGGTACTGCGTAAGCGACACAGCACTGGAGCAATTTCAACTTATTACTATATCTAAGGGATATCTTTTCAGCAATCCAAAACAGCACTGGGATCAAGAATAAAAGGATAAACCATAATCACCCCCAGTTTAAAAACATGTTTGACTTATTATCTCAAATAACCTAGATTTTTCTTCTCTCTCTGAAAAAAATTCAGAAAGCTTATTTGCAATACATTTACATCAACCTGCAGGTATTTTAACATTTTTTAGAAATAGCATTTCATCTGAGCAGCACAAAGTTACTCAAAGATGTAATCTGACAGCCTGAGATTCAAATTTGTGGCCAAATTAAATCTATTGTTATTGATCTGAATATGATGCACTTAGAATCATACAATCCCAGAGTGTGGAAAGAGGCCATTCCAAACATTGAGTCTGCACCGACCTTCCAAACAGCATCCCACCGTGACCCAGCCTCCCACCCTATCCCATATTTTTACCATGACTAACCAACCTAACAAGTACATTTGCAGACATTACAGGGCAATTTAGCAAGGCCAACCACCTAACCTACACACCTTTGGACTGTGGGAGCAAAGTACAGCACCTATCGAAATCCCACATAGATAAGAGGTGAACGTATAAACTCCATACAGATAGTCACCTGAGATGGGAATCAAACCTGGGTCCCCAGCACTGTTAGGCAGCAGTGCTAACCACTGAGCCACCATGCTGCCCAAAAGAATGTGACAACTTTAAAAAGATCAGTTTGAGTGAATTGTTTAGCCCTATTCATATTAATTATACTCTGGTGTCTGCTTCCTGTTCCAAAGTTTTGGGGTTAGTTCTTAATTATTTACTTGGGTGTGAGTACAAGCAAAAGCCAGCTTGGTAATGCTAATAATAAATAGTTAGCATCTCATGTAGTCAAGTGGGGCCAATCATGGACCAAACAGCTTTTGTGGAGGCAGTGAGCAGGATTGTGGTGCTAAATGAGTACTTTAGATACCAACCTACCAGATCAAAAGCAAGTTTATAATGTTGCAGTTTTGGGGGGCTCTTGTGGTACAGCAGTACTGTCCCTACCTCTGAACCAGGAGGTCTAAGTTCAAACCTCACCCATTCCACGGGTGTGTAATAGTATTTCTTAATAGGTTGGTTATAAAATAACTACAATGTTGCATTTAAAAAAAAAAGTGATATTGGATTGAATAAAAATACAACTGGCAATGGTCCTTGACACAATCTTTGAAACCTTCCATAGTAACAGAGGCTGGTGCTATGCAGACTGAAGGATTGTAAATATAACACCCAGTTGCAAACAAATAGAAGTCAGGACAGCTCGACCAAAAAGCTGTCAAGGCCTTTCTATATTCTATAATTTGAATAGTTGTACAAAGGTATAAAATCAAGAAATAATTAGGCTGGTTAAGAAAGGAATTGTAATGACCAAGGGTATTTATACACTTCTTAGAACACCTTATTCCGGAACCGAGGGAACCAAGTAATTTGTGGTCTGGTAATACGCAATGCAACAAGATTAATAAATGGTTTCATAGAAAGGATCCGCTCACAAAAGAGTGATCTAATAATGGCGAATTTCACATTCAGCTGGGGGTGAAACAATTCAGAGAAGGCTCATTAAGTTGATTCCTGCGACAACCAAGTTGTCTTATGAGGAAAGATTGGACAGAATGGTTTATACCTTTCAGAATTTATAAGAACAAGAGGTGAGCTTACTGAAACATTGGATTGAGCCATGGAGGAAAATCTAGAAATAGGAGGTACAGTTTAAAAATAAAGGGGTCTCCTGTTTAAGTAGGAGATGCATAAAAATTATTCTGTGACGATAGTTTTTGGAAATTCTCCTCCGGACAGTAGTAGAGGCCAGGCCATAGGAATATATTCAAGATTGAGAGTTAGATAGGTTTTTGATCAATAAAGGGAGTCAAGCAGGAAAAGCCAAAACCCACAGTCAGATCAGTCATGACCTTATTAAATGGTAGAGCAGGCTCAATGGGGCAACTGGCCTACTTCCGTTTCCATTTCTTATAAATTTAGAGTAAACACTGTTCATCCTCCAACTTACTCATCTATTTCATAGAATAACCAGAATATTTGACAAAGCAAGTTACTCATTTCCCGCTCATTTTACTACAACATTAATCCCACTTACCCCTCCTTGTTCTCTCCTTCAGTTGTTGGTGGTTCAGCAACTTCAGTAACCTCTACTTTAACACTAGCCTTCTCTTGCTCATCCAACCAGTCTGAAACTGCTTTCAATGCCCTCTCTGTATGTGACACCATATTCTGTACTGCTTCCAGCTCTTCTTGAGTTGGGTAGATGGCAGCATGTTTTGCCATCACATGGCGGTCATCATTCACAAATATACGCATGGGACGCTGGAGGGAACACAACAGAAACTGGTTACAAAACATTACACTTATTCCAGACAAATGATAAACAAGCAATTATAAAACATCAACAGCTGGTCAGAGCTATTCAAGTTTCTGGTTTCTAACTCTTGTTTGAAACTCCCCTTTCCTTCCTGATACTTACCATTTTGGCTTCAGCGTCCACCTGCTCTAGCCTGGGGGTTTCTTTGGCTTATGAGTTTTCTTTGGTGCTTTGTCAAGTTTTTCCAGTGCTTGCAGACAACAAGCTTTCAGACCTTCCTCATGCACAGTTGTACCACAGGTGCAGCTCCTTGGATCTATATTTGAAAGAGATTAATAAGAACCCATGTTTCTTTTTAATCAGTACCTTACAAAAGGGTTTAATCTACAGCAGGTGTCCATATTCAAACTGGACTCCAGTGTAAATTTTAAAGATTATCACACTGAAAAGCAGACATGGTTAAACTTAATGCAAATTATGCAGACTTCTCTTTTGAGTTGGATGAATCGAACCACTACTATTTTACAGGCAACTTGCTCAGTCTGTGCAATCATCAAAAGGATTGCGTAAAATGACACCACTTTCATTAATAAGTAAAAATGGGTCCAATCCAAAGCTGATCCTCAGCTCAAATATATTCTCTGGTGACATTACACTGATGCTTTGTGTATACCAACTACTCATAAAAGAGCCGACAGTACTCATGAATGACAATACAAATCTCAGCATCATCAAAAATGAGAAACAAAGCACATGACCCCACATCAGCTGCAGAAATCAGTTTGTGCAATCAAAATTATGTTGTCAAAAACATGTCTACTCAAATCTCCAGACACACTCCATCAGTTACAAGAGCTTGGACTGCTGGCTGATTGAATAAAATGTACCAATACCTTTTACGACGCAGATCACTGACATTCACTCCCCAACTTGGAGCAAATCGACTGTAGGTTCTGAGAAAATCTCAGTGTAATAGTTTATCAGCAAAGAAGGTCACAAACGTTACCCAACTAACTCATTACTGCATATTGCAACTGATCCTCCTCATTGAGGTTTTATTAGAGTGATGTATATAGCAGTTCCATCAAATAAAGGGGACTCGAATGGACAGGTGAACAACCAAATCAATAACAGACTGTGGGCTCAGTGATACTATCAGTTTTAGCAATAATTTGTTAAACCTATAACAAACAGCAGGAGCAATTATGATCCTACACGTAAAGCATGATTCAATTTTCACCCAATGAGACGCATACATCATTTCAGAAGTCCATATATCTTGAATAATAACATTGGCAAAGCCCAACATTAATAATTTGCTCTTTTCCCTGGGCAGCCTTGTGGGAAACTGCAAAGTTAACTGCACGTTACCTCATTTCTTTTAAGGAAACAGTTGATCAATTTTAAAAACCAAAAGAGCTGCGGATGCTGTAAATCAGGAACAAAAACAAAGTTGCTGGAAAAGCTTAGCAGGTCTGGCAGCATTTGTGAAGAAAAAATCAGAATTAACATTTCCGGTGACCCTTCCTTAGAACTGATGGTAGCTGGGAAAACCTCAGTTTATATGCAGAAAAAACGGGGAGGGGGATGGGGATGGGATAGGGAGTAAATGATAGAATAGAGCCTAAAGAGAGAAAAGAGCGGTTGGACAGACAAAGAATTGATAACAATCAGGCTGGGAGGGTGAATAGGGTGTAGAGCTGGATGAACACAGCAGGCCAAGCAGCATCAGAGGAACAGGAAGGCTGATGTTTCGGGCCTCTTCATTTCTGAAGGAGGGTCTAGGTCCAAAACATCAGCCTTCCTGCTCCTCTGATGCTACTTGGCCTGCTGTGTTCATCCAGCTCTACACCTTGTTATCTCAGATTCTCCAGCATCTGCAGTTCCTACTATCTCTGGGAGGGTGAATAGTTGTTAATGGGGACTATTAGTGACTAATAACAAGTAGCGTGCAATGGCAGGCTATGTGGCAACAAGGCTTGCTGCATGGGGTAGGGGGCTGGGACATGGGAGAGTTTAGGCCCTAAAATTATTGAACTTGATATCTGAGTCTGGAGGGCTGGAGGGTCCCCAAGCGGAAAATGAGTTGTTGTTCTTCCACCTTGGGTTGAGTTTCGCTGGAACACTGCAGCAAGCCAAAGACAGACATATTGGCCAGGGAACAGGGTGGTGCGTTAAAGTGGCAGGCAACGAGTAGTTCAGGGTCTTTTTTGCGAGCAGAATGTAGATGTTCTGCGAAGCGGTCGCCAAGTCTATGCAGCAAGTGTGGACCTGGGTGTCCCAGAGGGAACAGTCCCTGCAGAAGGCGGACAAGGGAGGGGAGGGGAATATGTGTCTGGTGGTGGCATCTTGCTGGGCGTGGCAGAATTGGCACCTGATGATCTTCTGGATGTGGATGCTGGTGGGGTGATAGATAAGGACAAGTGGAACCCTATCGCTGTTGCCCGAGTGAAGAGAAGGGGTGAGGACAGAAGTGTGGGAGATGGGTCGGACCTGGTTGAGGGTCCTGTTGATAACGGAGCTGAAAAATCTTCGGTTGAGGAAGAAGGTGGACATTTTGGAGGCTCCCTTGTCGAAGCTGGCCTCATGTGAACACACGATGGAGATGGAGGAACTGAGAGGCCAACTCCATGGGTCAACAGGGCCCTCAACCAGGTCCAACCCACTTCCTTCACCCCCACAGCACATTCCCTTGTAACCAGCAAAGGTGTAACACCTGCCCGTTTACCTCGTCCCTCCCCAGTATCCAAGGGCCCAAACATACCTTCCAGGTGAAGCAACACTTCACCTGCACTTCCCAGAATCTAGTTTACTGCATTCGCTGCTCACAATGTGGTCTCCTCCAAATTGGGGAAACGAACATCTACATTCTGTTTGCAAAAAAGACCCTGAACTGTCCGTTGCCTGCCACTTTAACACACCACCCTGTTTCCTAGCCAGTATGTCTGTCTCTGGCTTGCTGCAGTGTTCTAGCGAAGCTCAATGCAAGGTGGATGAACACCGCATTTTCCGCTTGGGGACCCTCCAGCTCTCCAAACTCAATATCGAGTTCATTAATTTTATGGCCTAAACTCTCCCATGTCCCAGCCCCCTACCCCACACACCAAGCCTTGTTACTACATAGCCTGCCATTACACACTACCTGTTATTAATCACTAATAGTCCCCATTAACAACTATTCACCCTCCCAGCCTGACTGTTATCAACTCTTTGTCTGTCCAATTGCTCTTCTCTCTCTTTAGGCTCTATCCTTTCGTTTACTCCCTACCCCATCTCCCGCCCTTTTTTCTTGCATATAAACTGATGTTTTCCCAGCCACCATCAGTTCTCTTTTCTTTATTCGTTTACAGGATGAGGGTGTCGTTGGCTAGGCCAGCATTTATTGCCCATCCCTAACTGCCCAGAGGGCAGTTAAGAGTCCTCCACATTGCTGTGGGTCTGGAGTCACATGTAGGCCAGACCAGGTAAGAATGGCAGTTTCCTTCCCTAAAGGTCATTAGTGAACCAGATAGGTTTTTCCAACAATTGACATTGGATTCATGGTCATCATCAGATTCTTAATTCCAGATATTTTATTGAATTCAAATTCCACCATCTGCCGTGGTGGGATTCGAACCCGGGTCCCCAGAACATTATCTGGGTGTCTGGATTAACAATGCAGCGATAATACCCCTTCTGAGGAAGGGTCACCGGACCCGAAACGTTAACTCTGTTTTTTCCACCACAGATGCTGCCAGACCTGCTGAGCTTCTTCAGCAACTTTGTTTTTGATCGAGTTTACATCATGTTTGGCAGAGAAGACACTAAAATAAATGTTTGCAAATGTTGAGCTAAGTTATGAATTCACAAAGAGAACTGCAAAGGAGCTCGTTGAAAAATTAAATAAATAAATGGACCCAAACACAATGAACAACTACTGAAAACAATAAAAACAGTGAAGTGAAACTTTAATGTGAGACAATGTATTTTACCACAATGGCAAATGAACATTTAAAAGAGCATGGGAACCTTTACACAGAGCTGTGAGCCTCAAGGACAAGAGACCAAACCGGTCCAAAAAGGAGCTTCATGACTAGTCATGATAACAATGAACAGATTTGGGTTTTTAACCCGATAACAGTGGAATGTGATACCCATATTATATACTGCAAAGAATCTTCAGCCCTTACTGCAAATGCTGCCAGTATCAACGTAACCATCACATCCCTGCAACATGCAGACAATACCCCAAGAGTGCAATGATTCCTTAAAGGTCACATTTAAATTGAGACTCATTCTGGGGGCAGTGAACTGAGAAGAGTATGATACTCATGGCACCTCCCTCCAGGTTTCAGTACGCTTTAAGCAGCTAGTCATGAAACCTTGAATTGGCAACCTGTTAAGCCCGACATTTACCTATTGTAGTCCTGAGAATACAAGCGCCTGCCACTGTGAATGAGTTCAGCCCAGTACAGGAACTCCACATGAGCCTGCGCTTTGTCCCATACTGGCAGCGGTTTTGGTAAACTTTAGCTTTCTCTTAACAATTTGAAATTTCTTTGTGCTACCATGAACTGTAGCCTGCAAGTAAATGTTTATTCTTTCAAACAAGGAAAACATTCCACCAACTGTGGAATATTACTGCAGTGCAACATAGGTTTATTTCAATACCTACAGCCACATGGCAACAGGATGCAATTGACAAGCAGGGTTTAGGAGAAACAGGCTGTGGTGCCACCAATGCTTTTCTGTTAGCAATGTGTACTTTCTCACAGTTTAGTGACTGATATAGAGCCTGACAAGATTTATATGACAGAATAAACAAGAATTGAAACTGAATGAGCACATGAAGTTTATGGTACTGCCCACTGGGAGGATAAACAGGGTCAAGTTAAGCTGCAGGCCTGTTTGCCTGTTGCATTTTCTTTACAATTTTATTAACTGTCATCTTATAACTGGTGGGAATAAATCTAAGATCCAGCATTAAAAGGACATAATTCAAAGAAAGTTCAGAAATGTTAGAATGCAGAACATTCCACAAGGAGGAATGCTGGAAGCAATAGTCATTCATTGATAAAGACTGGCAGTTTTACATCTGAAAGTTAAGGGATTCAGTGGATAATTAAGAGCTGATGCAGCAAAAATGTCTAAATATCCCCAATGTACTATAAAATTTTGTCTGTCAGAAAATGTATAGGAATCGTATATAATTCAACCTTTCCATCAGCATACACCAATCCACGTATGCACTGTCGAATAAAGTGAAAACTAGAACACAAAAGGAGTGCTCGTTTGTTGTAATTTTGCTAAGTTACTTCTACAAAGTACTTGGTCAAA